CCACGATGTTCTCGTTAATAAGTTTTTGTTCAGATTTTAATTAGCTAACCGGAAACACAGCTAAGCTTTCTCTAAGCGCTTGCTGGAGGTCGTCCACGAACTTAAGCCGTATTGTGAACGACTTTACTACAAAGCGAAGATTAGATTTTGGCGCGCACAGAAAGCAGAAAGCTACGTAGGCGAAAGCGCCAGTTGCTCGACATACCTGCGTGGCCCGTGCGACGAAATAACTTCACGGGATTGGCAAAGTTTCAGTCACAGCAAATTATGCAAAAAATCTAGAAATATTTAAGCTTAAATCTCGTTTAACGTTTAAAGCGAGATATCAATGACTGCAACCATCGTGTTGTGTACAAACCTCGCAAAGTTTAAAACACGTTCTCTAGTGATACCTGAGAAAGTATTCAGTATAATTTTCGGTACGATTTTCGCGGACAATCTGATCGATTTCTCTTACATTGTGAACCTTTTCACCTCAGGCAAATCTCCGTCACACGGCCCAAACAAACATAGCGAGCAACTGAGCTTATATGTCCGTGTTAAAACACACGAAAGGACTCTAAAGTACACTTCACTCTGATTAGGCAGAAAAACACAAAAGATTTTCTGGAACCAATCAGATGGCAGAACGACTGCGACCGTTTGGAACTAGTCTTGTAGGACAATGTTCCCAGGGGCTCTTCATGCCCTCACTTGAAATCGACCCACAGCTCCTGGGTCTCCGAGGATGGAATATTGCATGCTAGCCCCGATTGGTCAAGAGGTACTCGGGCAGCCCGTAGCCGGATGTTAAGAAAACCAAGACCCTCGAAAACGAAGACCTAAGGCCTAAGACCAAAGACCCGTCTTAGTTTACGAGATTACGAAAACTATGACGCCCCTAAAATAGAATCCGTCGTAATATAAAGTCAAATTGTAACCAAAATAGGTTTAATCTGTCAAATTATCTCCTGTCCGATCCTTTCCACCGAGTTTTAAGTCAAATTAAACGGGCTACACTGACCCCGGGTCAACTGACCCTCTACTGACCCCCCTCACTGACCCCCTCTTAAATTCACTGGAAATGAATTTAAATGTATAACTACCATAAGAGCTTCTTCTCAACTAGGTCAGCCAAACCCCGTCGCTTGGGTACGCGATTTACGCCTCGCGCTTAGTCGTTCCCTCACCTGAAAAACGCGAAAAAATAACGTCTGTTCTGCAGGCTATAAAGACAGGGACTCATTTGCGAGTAGATACTTCACCAATTCACGGCATACTCGAAGAAAGTTACCTTGTAAGTCCATTAGTCACGACCATTTACCCAATTTTTAACAAATGAAGGAAAAGCCACCGACATATTGGAGAACGTGACCTGGCACTACTAAAACACTTCAAACTTCCGGTTTCTGACGCTTTGGTCGACCAAAAACAATCCATTTTGGTGGAAACGTATACAACACAGTACACAATGTTTCGACACATATGCCTCTCGTTTATATATGAGTATAGGAGAACTAACAATTGTGGTAAAACGAGTTTGGACGATGGCAGACAATAGGCATTAAACAGATCGACCATCTTCCGCCGTTTTGGAATTTAAGAGGTGAGTGTATTATTATATCGTAATTTTGTATCGTTAGGTTCTTATCGTTAGCTTCAATTCATGATTTCCAATGAATTTAAGAGGGGTTCAGTAAGGGGGGTCAGTAGGGGGTCAGTTGACCCGAAGTCAGTGTTTTGTCCTAGCCCAAATTTAACGATAAATTTAGGGGTCTTAGTTTTCGTAATTTCGAAAACTAAGACCCCTCTTAGTTTTCGTAATTACGAAAACTAAGACCCCCACCAAACTATTCTGTAAAATGTCTACAACGTCGAATTACGACCGTTCAAAGACTATAATCCGTAAAACAACCAAAAACTACAATCGTACGCGTGCTAGACGATCCGCTTCTTCCGTCTAACAATTTGCAGACACATATAAAGACGATGAAAGCCATACACTACCTACGTATAATTGTAAGCTGAAAATATGCCTTACCCCAATTGATCTTCAATTTTGTTGTTTATCCTTTAAATCATAAAAGTAGCTTTCCACTGGAGATGGTGTTTTTCTACGTGTCTCTGTGACCGAGATTGTGTTATCTGTGACAGAGCTGAATTTATGCACACCCACAAGATTAAGAACCCACAGAAAGCTCATATTCGATAATAAATCCGGTTAGATTTCCCGTGTTACTGTAAAATCACGAAGCGAAGAAATGTGACAAACAAGCGAAGAAAAAATGTGATTCGAATGACATTAGATTTTGTCAGAGATTTAAGAAAAATACAGAAAAACACAACGTTTCGTTGACTCCATGTCACCATTCTCAAGTGAGAAGAGAATAAAAATGAATAGTTAATTTAAACCGTACGAAGGTGACAAACGTAAAAAGTTAAAAAATTTTCTTATAAAATTTTAAATAATTGCGCGTGTTGAGTTCACAAATGTAAACTATTGAATAAATAGTTTCGCGCGTATGGAATCCGATTGTTTGTTCAAAGAGGGCTTCTATTTATTTAATAGTTTACATTTATGAACTTAACACGCGCAATTATTTATTTAAATATTTTAATATTTTAAACTTTTTACGTTTGCCACCTTCGTACGGTATAAATTAACTATTCATTTTTATTCTCTTCTCACTTGAGAGTGATGAC